TGACCTATTGATTGATTACTTATGAATTTATCTGTATTCATTTCATTTATCCATCACTTCGCTCCTTCCATTAATTATATCTCATTTCATCCAATATTCCACTATCTTCAGATGTTATCAAGCTGTGATTTAAAAGAAAACGGATCAGCAATCCATCTTATTCATTTGAGGTTCTTTCAGCCTTATATGCTTTTAAAAAAAAGTAACAAATCTCTGAATTCGTCTCATGTTTGCTGTCAATTTTGCACAGAGAAAAAAATTGCTGACTCTAAATCAACTCATCAGTAAACGTTCACTTCCATGAAAAATCATTCATTTCAAACCATTTCCATCAGGAAAGTGAGACATGAAAACGGAAACCTAATGAAGCGTAATCGAGGAGAGATCAAGTGCTAACTGAACGAAAATATTTAATCTCGTGTGATTAGTTGAGTTTCCACGGAATAAAGCCTTGTGTCCAACAGTCTCATTACATTAAGTGTTTAGCAACGTATCAGTTTTGTTGTGTCTCGGATCACAAGTGAATCAATCACATTCCTTCCACTATAGCAGCCATATATTCTATAGTATTATTTTGTGTGGATGCGATACGGATGATGCTTCAAACTGAATGAAATATGCTTGTGATGCGATTGCTTGAGAAGTTAAGCCTGTACGCATAGTTTTTCACTTTCGTCTAAGCCATTGAATGCCGAGCATTTGAAAAGAAAACTTTTGAAAGTGCACTGAAAAACTGATAATATGAAAATTGCAGATTTAATGACGACGACAATACATTAGGAAATTATAAAATCGTTTTCTTATGAAGAGGATATTTTATTCCTCTTGCGAATTGCATGGCATATTTAGAGAGGAAGCATTTGGTAGTGGTTTTGACGTTGAAGTGCGTTCCGCCGTTGACCATTAGAACGATCATTATGCTTTTTGTGGTTCTTCTGAAATTGGAAGAAAGAAATCACAACTGATTCAAAATAACTGCCTAGGGAACATTCATTCCGTATTGTGTTCAATGCATTCGCTTATTTATTTCGAGATGGAGCTTTTTTTTGGAGGGGTTTTTTCAATGTTTAGTTCTCTCAAGCAGTGATGCTAAATTCGAAAATGAGAAATTGATTCAGCTACACTTTTGACGAAGCGTTTTCAAAATTTCCGCCTTTGGCTTCAGCTCGGCATTTTTCAATTTTCGGCTCCAACTCTAACTCACACTCCGCATTCCCCAAAAAAAAACTGACGCCGTTTCCAGCTTCGGCTCCACATTTTCAAAAAAATCCTGCTTTAGGTCTAATCGTGGCTCTCCTTTGTCGAAAATTTGGCTCCAAATCCCCACATTCTTTGGCATTACAACTCTCATTTCAGCTTCAGTTTTCGGCTCCGGTTCTGAAATTTTTGGCTCCAGCTGTATCTCTGGCTTCGAGTTAGGTTCAAGCTCTGGGTTCAGCTTCGAAATTTCCTCTGCTGCGCTATGGCTCCAGATCTGACCACTAATGGCCAAAATTATGGTGACAATAACAATGTTGATGATATTGCACTAAGTAGTGAGGGAGCAAAATTGCTGGGGGAGCTCGTTCCACGACGAACACTACATCCAACACAATCTTTCAGGAGACAGCGATCCTGTAAAGCTCCTGGTTT